CCTGAGCAGTGCTCAGCACCTCACTGGAGTCCAGTAATTATTTGTGGAATGAATGAATGGACGGGAGTGGAGGAGGCCTCGCTGGGTGGAGGAGGCCTCGCTGTCAGGTGCAGTTTCCCTGCTGCAGAAGCAATTGCCTCACGTAGCCAGCAAGCATCTGGCACCTACCCAGTGCCAGGCCCTGGAGGAACTGTCCCCGCCCCCCCTCTGATCACTTTCAGAGGGAGAGGTGGGGGAGGGTGTGCCCAGGCTTCCTGTCTGCCCTCTGGGCTGCCCAGGCTGTTTCTCCAGCCGATCCCAGTGGGGGCCCCAGTGCTCAGAGGTGCCCTCCCCTTCTCCCAGGAAGTAGTTGGGGGGTTGGGGGGGGGGTGGCTCGGGTCTTGGGGGAAACTGACCTGCCCTAGTCAGGGGCTCTGAGGTTAAATGACACATTTTTCAGATTCTTGGAGTTAGAAGGAGGTTGCTGGAGGTGCCCCCTCCCCAATACTAGCTTGGGGTGGGGGCTGGGGCATTGGGACTGCTGAAGTGCACAGAGGAATTGGTGTGACTTCAGAGGCCCTGAGATTGTCTCTTCCCCTAAAGCCCACCCCCTCCCACCCCCCACAATAGCCTTGGTTTGTTTGGTGCCCAGGGTGAGATGCCCTGTCCTGGATTCACATAGTATGGCCTGAGTGTGTAGATAGTGATGGTGAGCAGGGAGGGGAGGTGTGCCCCCCTCGCCCTGGACTGTCAGCTCCTGTGTGTGTTGGCAGGAAGGCGGTCTGATTCTCAGGGCCCAGGCAGATCCCGGAAGAAGCCTGGTGGTTCTCTTTGATTCAGGGCCTGTCTCCGGGGCTCCTGGGGGTGTGGTATTTCTGTCTGAGCCAGCTCCTGGGAATTGCTTTTCCTTCCTCCAGGACCCTGGGAGGGGGCTGTGCTCACCCTGGGAACAGTGCCACGGCCGGGAATCTTGATTCCTGGGTAGCTGCTGGAGGCCCCTCCCCCACCCTCTGACTCACTGTCTGACACTTTTCTTGGACTCTTCCACTATCTTTCATTCCTTTTTCTTGCTGGCTTCTCGTCTCTGGCTGAGTCTTTTTGTCTTATCGCCTGCCTCTGCCTCTCGCAGCCTCTAGATTCCCAGGTGGGATGGTGGCTTTTCCTTCTTCCCTCACCGCAAAGGAGTATCGGGGAGGAGACGGTTTCTCGTTTTATTCCAGGCCTGCAGATCCTGCGGGGGTTCATCACAAAACCTGCAGCGCGGCCCTAGTTTCTCCGTCTGCAGTTTTGGAGCTGATAACCCCTCACCTTAAGTTCCCATTCTGTAGCTGTCCCTGAGGCAGAACCACGGCTTAAACCTGCTTCCTTGACCCCGCTGTTTGTTTACTCGGGAACAGGGAGCCTCCTGAGATGCATGCGTTGGCACCTGCTTTGGCACCTGCTTGCAGCAGAGCTTTCTTCTCCCTCAGAGCCACCCCCTTCTGGGTACCGTTCTAGTTCAAACCCTCCGCTGCAGGCTGGGGGAGGGGTGTGAACCCCGCCCCCCTTAAACTGACTGTGACAGGAGCATGCGATCACACTGACCACTCACCACCACCCCCAGAACTCCTGTGCTTAATCTTGTTTCTGTGTTTATACAAAGCACCCACCTGCCTGCCTCTGATGGTCCTCAGTTGCCTTCTCTATGCCAGACTCCGTTCTAGGCCTGGGCACAGTGACAGCCAGGCCGAGAGGCCCTCAGCCTGGTGTGAGGGGGATGAGCAGTGAGGCCACTGCAGGGTGGGGAGGTGAGGGCTGTGTTGTGGGGATCTCAGAGAGGCATGTGGTGAGTGAGGAGCCGTGGGGTTTCGGGGAGGCCCTCTAGGAGATGATAGCCCAGGAGGTAAGCAAGTTGTGGCGATTAGGGGCGCATGTGGGGATCTCAGAGAGTCATGTGGTGAGTGAGGAGCCGTGGGGGTTTCGGGGAGGCCCTCTAGGAGATGACAGCCCAGGAGGTAAGCAAGTTGTGGCGATTAGGGGCGCCACAGTTCTGCTGGAGTGTAAAGTGAGAGGGGGTGTGGGGAGACTCCCAGGATGAGCCTGGAGGATGGGCTGCAGCTAGGCCTGCTCTGGCCTCGCTGGCCCTTCGTGGAATCCCCTGAGGGAGTGATTCTAAACGTGGGGGTGGCAGGTAGATAGGGGGTTTAATAAGACTACTCTGGCTGCAGGGTAAAGAGTGGCTGTGGGGCGAGGACATGGGTAATAGCAGTGGGGGTGGAGACATAGGGTAATAAACTTTTTAAATTGCAGGTGACGTACATAAAATGCATGACGTATATGAATCTTACGTGCACAGCTAGATGGATTTTATGGTTTTAGACACGCATGGAACAAATATCAACCCAGATCAACTTAGAACATTTCCAGACTGCCCCCCCCCCCCCCT